AGACAAAATGACTGTTGGGTGCTTGCATATATTCCTTTTTATATGTGGCATTTAAAGCATAGATAATGTACAGTGCAATGCGACCTGTATGTGCATAAATGGAGCCTGCTTTCAATCTTCAGTGGTCACAGCAGCCTGCACTCAGCCTTTTCTTACAGCATTGCTGGTCCCTGGCTCTGGCCAGAGTGCAGCACATTCCACTGAGGAGTGAGATTTCACAGTTGAACCCCCTGTGGTGGCCCTATTCTCCAGCCTCCTGTTGTTGCACAATAAGGGATGGGGTGTCTAACCAAAGCTGCAGCTCTCATGTTGCTGGCAGGGAGTGGAAATGGCAGCAGCATGATTTCTAATGAAAGTGCCTCATGACTTGTTCTGTCCAAAGCAGGACGCCATCCCCCAGGGGCCTCCTGCCATCCACATCTCTGGGCTAGCAGGGAAGTTTTTGTTGTGGGCTTGTGACCCCCAAAGTAGATGGATTTTCCATATTGCATACACAGCCTGCTTTCTCCTTTTATAGTATGCAAAAGATGTGCCAGGAGCTGGGTCTGCTGTGTTCCCAGGAAACTGCATACATGGCTGCATGTGTGGCAGTGGGGTGGAGGGCAACAGGATGGGAATGGAGCAGAGGGTAGCGAAGAAAAGCCTTTCTGCCATGCAAAATCTGTCCTCCTTCCTCCTCCCCTGTCCTCTCCTCTTCCCTTATTTTTTTGTATCTCCACATCTGTGCAGAATTTCAGTCACTTGAGGCTCCCAGGAGATAGCATCATTTTTGTGTTAAGGATGCTTATTGAATTTGACAAATGATGATTTATGACAGGGCAACCCGCATGGGGCGCAGTGAGGAGTCTCAGTGCCTTGTCACAGACCAGGATTCTGTTTCATTCCCATCTCAGCTCCTCTTTTGCCTCTCATTGAAGCTTAGAGCAGATCAGACTCGACAGATTCTGGGAATATATTGCTTAGCCGAGAGAATGAGTTCAAGAGAGAGCATGACACAAACAAAGAGAGCAGAGTGAGAAACTGATCTTCCCATGTCTCTCCCTTTAACCCATGACCACACCTCTAAGACCTTGTAGGACACTCAATAAATAAATTAACTTTTAACTGCTGTAGTAGCCTGGGGTTTGATTCCAACTTCACTGAATATTCTGCATGTCATGATAGCCTAAATTCGGTTTGTGGGCTGCATTTGCTGTCTTCTGGGCCAGCTGAAGGCTGGATCCTCTGGATGCAGCTCACTCAGATCTGCAGCAGATTTTGCTACTGTCTCCTTTGGCCATTCCAGTTCCACTGTGCACCTTTGACTTCCACCATCCTCTCTGTTCTGGTCATGGAGCCCACACACAGCTTTACCTCTGCACTTCAGTCTTTGCTGCAGATGCAGAGAAAGTTGAGCCAGACCAGGTCTGGCAGGACTCAGAAATGGAGGCTTTGTGCTGCACTGTGTGACTGTGGCCTTGCTGATTCCAGATCTTGTTCAGATCTCTGAGCAGCTTTGCCACTTCTGCCAAATGTAGATCCCAACCTGATAGACCTGGCCTCGGCAGAACCAGTGGGGTTGTTTCAGAACCCTGCTGCTGGGGCTGTGAGGGCTGGGAACCATGGTGCAAAGACACATGAGAGAATTCACACAAATCCTGCTGGATTCACCAGGGTTGGCTTACTACCAGCCTGACCAGAGCTGGACTCCCTTAGAGCCAAGCAGGTGTCTTTCCACCATGCTCTGAGCACAGTGAAACTCACTTAGTTCAAGCACTATGGAGATGCAGAAACGCAGCTCGTATCTGGCACTCTGCCCAAGATAATAAACTCTCCCAAATTCAGAGTGCTGGGAGGCACAATGTGGAGACACTTGAGCAGTCCTGTTGGGAAGCAGCCCAGGTCCAGTAGGGTTGATGCTGAGCCAGAGCTAATAATCCCTGCTGGACCTAGGCTGAGTTTATGCAGAATGACTGGGTGTCCCTGCACTGCATTTCCAGCACATCCTGTGGGCCCCACATTAATGGGTCTTTCCGCTCTCTGAGGTATATCCCAGCCCCCTTATCTTGGGTCATGGAAATGTGACAGCAATGTCTCAGGGACAGACAACACATGCACCAATCCCCTCAGTGACAGCAGTTGTGAGAGGTAGTTGGGTTGGAAGGCCTGGATGGAGGCACTCCTCTGCTGGCAGAGTGGTGAGGGGGAGGCTGGGCAGCACATGGCTGCTCCAGATGGAAGCCATTAACCAGGAATGTCTGTGATGTGGTCTGGAGCAGTGTAAACAAGGCCCATGAATTATCCCGCACCTTGTAAGCAGGACTGGAAAAGATCCCCTGTCATCCTCTCCTTCCCTCCCTCTTCTATCTCCCTATTTCCTTTTACCTCCTCTCCGTTAATTCCCCATATTGCTGTAGACATTTCTTTATTTCCATGTGTGGCTAAGTAAGGCTGTGCTTTCTTCAATCCTTCTGCTTTTAACCCATGCTATTATTCCTGAGAGAAGGGAGAAGGCTAGAGCTGGAGAGGGGCCAAGGTCTTATGAACCACCTCTGAGCTAAATCAGCCCTTGTACGAGTGAACACAGATCACTGGCATGCTGGGCACATTCACTGCTTCAGACACTCCTGCCAGCAGCAATACCCTCCCAGTCAGCCTGCCAGAGACTCTGACTAGTCCCTCAGCCTCCATTGCTATTGAGTGGGCTGACTCCTAAGAAAGGGGAACACCATCAGCTTGCTCAAGGTCTAAACCAACTCAATATTCTGTCACAGAGCCTAAAACACAGTTTACAACAGCACTAGTGAAGTATCCTGTCTTCCTTAGGCTCCAGAGTAGTGTGTTTCAGATCATTTAACTACAGAGATCAGCAGAAAGCATTGAGGGGAGAGTAGATGGGCAAAAATATCCTTTATCTGATAGGTTCTGGTGCACTGGCTAAACTGACCATACTGGATCCTCCTTCCTATTAATACCTGCTTCTCCAGACAGCAAAATCAAAACAAGTTTATGTTTATACATTTCAGCAATCCCAACTAGAAGCTCTAGAAACTATAAATGTTAAGATCTCTTTACTTACTATTGAAACACAGCTATTTCTGGCAAGAAAGAAGGAAGTTATTTAACAGAGCATAGTAATGCTATGCAACATTTGAAGTAGAAGGGTGCTGCATCCAACCATCTATGATATGTAAAATTTAGGAAGCTAAATTAAATTGGTCAAATTGAAATACCAATTAACACATGGTTCTCCAATAGAGCCATGTATTATTTTAGGTTCAGAAAAGGAATTTCAATTTTGAAAACCAGATGAGTCTTCTGGCTATATCGTGTGCCCAAGATAGCACTGGTTTGTGCGGTCACTCCTTACCACCTGCTGAACTCTCCATGCCCTATCCTGTAGGATATATTTCCCTTGGACTCATCTAAAAAGGTATCATCCACTCAGACACCTCTACGTCTCAGCCCTGATGGGAACACTCTCCTAAGTTAGACTGCTTCAGAGCAAACATCCTGAGTGTCTGCATTTCCAACTCTGCAGTGGCAAATTATTGATTTGTTCCATTTTAGCCACCCAAATGCAGAGTATCTCCATGGGGAAATGATCTCCAATGCTTCTGGACAAAGTCCCACCAGTCCCTGCTGCTAGGATGGATGTCATCTCTCCAGGACAAAGGATGGGACATGGTGGGCCCCCTGCAGTGACACATGTCCCAGGAAGTTACTCAGCTTGGTGGCAAAATGGTTTTTGACGGAATCTAATATGGATGGCAGTACCTCAGAAAGCAGATGTCAGAAGGAATAAGCCCTGGCCAGCTAGACTGCTGCATGATTTAGACAGCAGCCTAATGTCTATTCCTTACCACCTCCAGGAGGGTGTCTCTGCTAATAGGGCTTCTTCCTATCAGCAGCCGTTCTCAGTTTCTTGAACAGTAATAAAGCAAAACTGGTTGGGGAAGAAAAATGTAGATGAGAGTGGGCAGAAGTCCAGACCTTTTCCAGTGCTTTTGTGAGCACATCCAGCAGGTCACATCTACTTCTGTGTCATGGGACAACCCAGAATTCAATTCTTGTAGCAATCCTATGGCCTAATCTTTTTTAGTGAAGTTACTCTGTACACTTTGTGGATGCTTGTCCTACTGCCCACCTCAGAGCCAAACAGAGTAATGTTGCTATAATTCAAGTAATTTCTGTGAGTTCAGTTAGGATGTACCATTTTACACCAGAAATGAAAGTAGTCCATTTATAAGATCTAGGCTGTAAAATAGTCTGGATAATCTCTGATCAGTAGCAATATCTGCCTGGGAAAAGAGTGGTAATCAGATATGATAAATACAATATACACAAGAGTTTTGTATTTTTGAGATTGCATCCCTGGTTCAGTGAAATTTCTTTCCCTGTAGTATGCAATGTACTCATGGCCAGATGGATTATCTGCTATTCTAACTGTTCTCTGAAATGTCATCAACTGGACACTGCTAAGACTGGCCTCCATAACAGTTATTCCCAGTTGATCAGTTTTGGTCATGTTTTCAGAGATTTTAAGGACAGAACAGATCATCTTCTCTGGTTTTTTACATAATGCAAGCCCTGATTTTAATTCAGCTGGGGAACACACTATTCATTTTCACTTTCAAACATAATAAGGATAAAGTATGTCTTTGCACAGTCCTTGTATTTAGAGCTGGAGAAATCCTAATTGGTCTCATTTCGTATGTCTCCTGGGGACCAGCAGAGGATCATTTCCTTTACTGAGTGCAGATATAAGTTCTAAGTGATTCAAAAGATAGAGCTTTCACTGCTTTCCTGGAAAAAATAATAATCTCCATCTGCAAAAAGATCTTGCTTATTTTCTCCACTGTTCCTAGTATTATCTCTATAAACACAATAATTCAAATCCCTGGAAATGTTTTCCTCTCAAAAGAAGCTACCAGCTTTCTCTGTGTACTGCCTCTCAGGGATTTGTACAGCATTTCCTTAACTCCAAATTCACTTTAACATCGCTTTGACTTTTTTTTCAGATGCCAAATACACAGATGCTTGGATCCTCCTCTTTCTCATTTTCTTGGCCACCTCGGGGAAGTCCTGCCTGTCATCCAAGCTTGAACCCTCTGCTCCAGAGCATGCTCAGCAGTGAGTAGCTTGCTAAAGTACCAGGTCTTGGGTGTCTCTACAGCCGGGAAGCTGCTGCCGCCCACTGAGTACATCAGTGCCAGAGATACTGTCTCCATGGCAACGGAGAGCTTTTTGTTTTTCTGATGAACAGTTTCAAAGAACAGAAAAAGCACATCTGGAGTTGCCATATCAGCTGATCCCTGCCCCCCTGCCTGCCAGAGTCAACAAGAGACAATACCTCAGTTTTAGCAGACCTGGGCTGAACATCCCAGGAGACAGAATGAAAGCAAGTGAGGTGTACAAGAGAGAGGAGTGTATTATTGATTTAAGGATGGCTTTGGGTTGGTTACCTTACTGTTTTCATGTTAGAGGCTTTTCATGGGAGTAGCTCAACCACACCAGCCTGCTGTGTATTTCCTATCTGTTATGTGTTGCTGAACATTTGAGCAGGACTCACTTTTGTATCCCTCATTCATAAAGGCAGAGTTTCTAAGTTTCTAAGCCCTTTGTTCAACCGTACTTTTCTTATGGGATAGAAAATTCCTATGTATTTTTTGGGGGTCAGTGCTTCAAAAATGTTCTTTAGAATTGTCACATTGTTTCTGTGTCTAGTTCTAGGAACAAGTGTTTTGCCACTGTTGTCTGCTGTGTAAGAAAGCCTCTTTTTTACAAAGAGAAGCCATTTCTTAATGGCTTCTGGGTTATCAAACAGGAAAGCTGTTACTGCCATGGGACCATATATAACCCACTGTATGTGGTTTCTTTAACTTCTTCGACTCCTTATGGGTCATCCTTTGGATAATTTTTTGGTCTGTTCTCAGAAAGGAGATCAGGTGATCCTGTTCCTTCCCTGCCTCACACCAGCCTCTTTTGAATACAGCAGTTCTAGCAGACAATTTAACAAAGAGGTGATGCTGGCTGGCTGTGTCCGGCACAGGAAGAGGCAGAGGAATTAGGCTCCCTGCCATCAACCTCTAACTTCAGCAGGCGGGATGTGGGAAAAAGCAAAACCCAACCCCAGCCAAATAAAGCTGGCCTGCAAAAGACCTTCATTCCTGAAGAATTTTTGAATTAAATACTGGCTAGAGCCAGCCAGATTCCACTGAAAATGACTATGTCAACTGGTTTTAAATAACAGTCTTTCATGTATGTGCTTTTTATGTTGCTTCCCATTGTCTGTTGATTTCCCCATAGACACAGAGAAACTAAATCTTTTGCTCAACACATTTTTGTTCCTTCTTACTTTGCAAACAAGGATTTTTGAGTCTGAGTAGAAACAAGATGGCTGTGTATACATTGCTCTCCTTCCACTCTCCGAATGGCCATTGGGAGGAGGTGACAGCTACCTCTGTGCATCTGACAAAATCAGTGCCTCCTCTGGGTTTTCTGCACACCTGTGACTCATTCCTGTAGCAATCCCTATTACTCTTCCTATTATTTCAGTAGTGCTGTGGGAGTCCTTCTGTACTCTTTACAGAACAAGCCAGTCCTGACTACACTGGGTTTCCTTTTGTAAACAGGCAATTCATTTCCAAACCTTGTCCTAAGAATGCCAGATCCAGAGTGCAACAGTAGTCGCAGATTGCAGAATTATTTCTGTAAGTTACCTACCTCCAGTGTTGAGCCAGGAAATGAGAGTTAGCCCCTCCTGGGGACACAATGCCCTTATTACACCGTATGAGAAAAAGTCTGATTTCTTTGCAAAAAAAAAGGAACAACTAAAGCTGCCTGAATCCCCCTCTCTGGAAGAAAGTCTGACAGAGACTTGGAAATGGCAGCTACAGTATTCCTTGAAAATACTGAAAGCAAATGGTAATGAGAACCAGCTGGAAAGAATGAAATCTTCCACATGGCTATATGTGCCATCTGTATTGGCTCAAATTAAAAATAAAGAAAGATCCTTTACAAGCACCCTTATGTTCTGTTCCATTGCAGTATGGATTTTTTAAAATGCCCCACAGAGTGCTCTGAGATACAATGCAAGGCTGTCTTCCCACAGCATGAGCCTGTTGATATTGATGTTACTACATCACCTAAGAATTAGTGGCTCTCTTGCTGCCTGAGCAGGCTTCTTGTCCTCAGGGTCAGCAGCACATGATTCAAACATTTATGTGATACTGCAGGTCTTGAACACAGTTGTCTTCCATCTGCATCTGCTTATAATATAACATTAAGTAAACATAATGTTCTTCTGACTTTTGAATGGCAAGGCCCAGAATTGTATTAAAAGATCTTCAGGGCAAATCTGAAGCCTCCCTTTAAACCTGGCCAGCTTTGCCTGGGCCTCCTTTGCCTGGAGAAAGGGCCTCAGTCATGATCTGCCATTTGATCTGCTGATTCATTTCAGCATCTTGGACTTAAGGGAGCAGTCAAGGACAAAGAACAAGGAAGGGTTCACTGCATGGCCTCTAGTGCCATAATCTGGCAGAAATTGAGTTTTCAAATGTTTTCTAATATCTGAATTTCTGAATTTCATTTTTTTTTTCCCCAAAACTGCTTCATACCTAAACTGTTCCCTGGGGTTTGTAGTAAAGTCATTCATAACTACCATATCATACTTGGGGAGGGATGCAAAGCTAGGAATGTAATTTGTTTAAGTTTTTCTCACTTGCTCTGTCAAATACTTGTAAATACTTAGCAAGTTCAACAAACCATAGTGGATCAACTATCTTTAAATTATTAGAGTTCATACCTAACTCACAGAGACACCAGTGCAAAAGTGAGCTGAGAAACAGTTTGAAAGATGACAGGTTCATGGTATCCTTTTCATAGCAAGAAAGAAGCATATCAATACTTGCTAGAAAGACTCAAAGTGGAAAGTGAGAGCTGTTTAGAGAAGAGAATAGACAATACAATAAAACCAAACCTTCCCCATGGTGTGAGAAGGTAGTTGGGCTTTCAAATCCAAAAGCAGTTTCTCTTTCTGCCAGGAATTAAAGTATATGTTTTATATTCAATTATGCCTTTAAGTATGTAGTCTGGGCTCTGACGAGGAGGATGGTGACCATGGTTATGGTCATTAGTTTTCTACTTTGCGGCATTAACTGATTATCTTTGGAGTTCAACCTTTCTTCTTAACATCCTGACCTGTAGGAAAGAGCCTGGCAGCAGCTATTGAGCATAGAGGAATCAGCACCAGGGGACAGCAAGGGCTGGTGGTCCCCGGGGATGGGTGTAGGGAGCTTTAGGGAAAGCCAAGGGCAGCAGGGCAGGGCCTGCCAGCCCAGGCTCACTCCACTACCCCAGCAAAGGGCACCAAGGCAATCCCAATTTTGGGCATTTGGCACCTCCCTGGGAATGGGGGCAGGCCTAGGCTGGGCTGCCATGTCAGCTCCCCCATGGAAGTTGGAGACCAGTGTCCTGTGATGTTCCTGGTTAGGACCTGAAATGGTGTCCTGGGCTGTGGGCAGGGTGAGAGGAAACCCAAGTGAGGGTATTGGGACCCTTGCACTCAGGATTGAAACATTGTGAACTGTTTAAAAACAGCATCAGAAATTCCATACCATTTTTCTAGTGTGGGGTCACCAAGTGGCTGAGGCTGGATCTGGATTCCATGAGCATGTTTCTTTCCACTCTTCCTTCAGCTTCATTGAGCTTGGTCTGAGTTAGTTATGTATACTTAAATCTTTTATACACCTGTTTTGTGTGACTTCACTGTCAATCCAAAAGGAATAGGGCCTCTTCTAAATGATTTCCTATTGTAAATAAAATGTGGTCCTAGCACATTTTCTACTGGAAAGTAGAAAGTGCCTGTGTAGCACCGAACAGTATCATAAGAGGTGCTCAAAATTAGTAAGAGACCTAATTTTGGTCAGGAAATAAAAGTATCTGTGTGCAGTGCATATATTTAAAATGGAGGCTAAGAAGCCCAGCTGTGCTATGTTAACATGACTGCATTGCTTTGGGTACTAGGGTTGACATGGACCTCTCTTAGTGGCCACATATGTTGGACACCCCACAGACACTTCGGTTTATATTTCTAACTGCCTGCTTCCCTTGAGTGGTTTAAAGTGCTTCTGATGCAGAAGAAAGATGCCCTACGGAGTCACCCCTTTCTCCTTCATGTTTTCACAGCTCTGGTCCCGTGTGAAGACACCAGGGGCTGACACAGGTTCTTTAGCAGCAGCACCCCAGTGAATCACTGCTATGGAAACAGCCAGGAATTCTGTGTATGACATCTGGAGAGCTTCCAAAGAGGTATCTCTAACTATATTCAGCCTAGGCCATGCTCATATCTGTATGGTTTCCAGTATCTTCTGCCCAAGGTGCCATATGCGTGAAATTGTTCAGACTCCTGTTCTGATGAGAGAAGGCCTAACCAGTTGCAAACTAATAATAGCCAAAATTTAACTGTCATCATTAAAATATATATATATACACATAAAAAAATTAACTGCTAGTAAAAGAATGTAAAAAATGGATCGTGTCAGTAAAATATTTTGGCATTTCATTGGTATAAATACCCAGACTCCCTAAGCACTTTCAATGCATAATCTAGATTTACTGCCTTTTCACGATGCCTGAAGTGGTAGGTTCTTTAAAGCTTGCCATGACTGACCATATGCATGAATTGTACAAATCCAGAGTTACAACTTTATAGTCTGAGTGAACACTTTTCACTATGTGCTTTAGAGATTTACTGAGGTCCTCAAAGTTTGAAATGTTTTTGTGAAGAAAATTAGAATGTCACTTAAAAATGAGAAAATGACCAATAAATTCTTGTTGGTTTTTGGAGGTCAAAGGAAAAAAAATCTATTGGTTGGCATCTAAAATTAAAGCCCTCCCTCAAAGGAAAATGTTTTTCCCCCTCATGTTCTCTCCTATCTTTATAGTTGATTCAACTTGATGAGGGTTACCAGGCCAAGAAGTTTAAACATGGAGGATGAAAAATATCAAAGCTTCATTCAGCCAGGAAATGCAAGGAGTAACAGGACAAACTTCCCCTGTGAACATGTTGGTGCTTTCATTCACTCAGTTCTCAGCTTCCTAGACTACTGCATAAAGTTAGCTAGTAATTAGATGGAAACCCTCTACCTCAATTCAAGAGAGCATAACAGCTCTCACAGAGCATAACAGTCATCACCTTTTAGTACCAAGAAAACCTGAACTGGTGACTTACATAGACACCATGTCTATATCCTTCTAGTGCAAGGAACCATATTTCAGACTTGACTCAGCTCATCACCTCCCATCCTCATAGCCTCAGATTCATGCTGAGACTGGCTGCAGAATGATGAAAATAGTAAGACAAGGCATTTCATGTTCTATTTCTGATCTGTAAAGAAAAGCAAAGAATGAGAAATGTCAGGAGTAAAGCCAGCCTTAGGAGATAACCTCTCTCCAGACAAAAGAGATTTGAAAGCACAACCATCTTTATTTTAATGCCTTTCTGAATAAAACCTCTGAATCTCTTGATGCATAGGCCACCACTAATGTGATCAAATCATACTCAGACTGTCTGTGGGTTTCTAAAGTACCTATCACTGCCACAGCTAGGTGACAGATTACAAGAATTAGAAGAGACATCGCTGCAGTTCCATTTATAACGTATTTTCTGTCCCCCCTAAGGCATTTTAAGATGGATTCTCTGCTCTCTGCTAAATTTGCTTTGCAGTGGTTATAGAGCATAGAGAGAACTCAAACAGGCAGGAGATTCCCACAGGAAAACTCCCTCAGTATGAGAGGTCTGTGCCAGTTGTATAGTTGTGTCTTCTCTTCTGCCTGTCCGTCTACTCTCAGCAGGAACAGGATGAAACAAAATGCTATATTACAACAGATCTTTCTCTGGTACAAGGTCCATTATCTTGTTTGCACTAGTGGTGTAAACTGGAGTATGTGATTTATTGTTATAGCTTCCAGTTGGATAAGACAGCTAAGATTTGGACATCTGCCTCTCCAACATGCATTAGTCAAGGGTCAAGGTCTTTCATATTCTGTTTTGCAGGAAAGACACCCACTGTCTGTTTGGCAAATGACTTCACAGAAAAGGATTACTGAATGCAGACCATGTATTGGTCTCAGCCTGAGGTCAAGCTGAGCTGTTACTTCACTGGAGAACATGACAAGATGTTCTCATGGCTTAAGGTTTTCTGGCTCAAGGAGATCTTGCCTCTGAGGATGGTAAAATAAAATTTAAGGGCTTCCCTACCTCAACTGCTTATAGGAAAACCAATCATTATTTTTTTTCTTCTTTGCTCTTGCCTAGGTTTTCACACAAACAAATCACAGATACTTTTTCCTGCCTATTGTTCATAATCTCCTCCTGTCCCCATAAACTTCTCTAAACCAAGCCAGCCAGCCTACTCATTGGAGAGGGGTTAATTTCAGTTTTCAGTGTTACCTGGATTTATAATCTGCCTGCTGTGCTTTATAGAATCATCATGGAATCATAGAATTGGTTTGGGTTGGAAGGGATCTTAAAAATCATCTAATTCCAACTCCTCTTTATTAACTAATAAATTTGTTAATTTATTTTGCCTTTCACTGCTATGGACAGTGACACCTTCCACTAGATCAGGTTGCTCCAGCCTGTCTTTGAACTCTGCCACGGATTGGGGACCCTGTTCCCTCGCCTCACTACTCTCTTTGTAAAAAGTTTCTTCCTTATAGCCAATCTAAACCTACCCTCTCGCACTTTAAAACTGTTGCCACTTGTCCTGCCACTACATTACTTTGTAAAAAATTCCCTCTCCATTCTTCTTTGAGGCCCTTTCATGTACTGGAAGGCAGTATGAAGGTGCAGCTGAAATTTCTCAGGTTTTATTAGTCTTCTGGTTTTCCCCACCTTGCTCCTTCTGGGCCCTGCAGCTGGTTAGCCAGAACTCATCCTATACTTACTGCAGCCCAGAATGCCTCAGGATGGTCCTTCTGGGTTTCCCAAGCCCAGCTCCTTTCCTTGCATAGCTGGACACTTTGTACAATCAGCAGAGGAAATGTGTTTAGCTGCTTCTTAGAACCAGCTTGACTTTTGGCCTTACTAAACTCTTTAATTTGCCTTCACAGAGTATCAATGTGTTCAGCATTAGAAACCTGACAATCCCTAGCCTAAATGTATGCATGGCTACTTCATACCCATTTGTTCTTATGCCAGCATTGTCCTTTATCTTTAAATAGCTTTTTTCTCCTCCCCATGTGTTCATCCCCTGAAGTATTTATTTATAGATTGCAATTATATACCCTTCACTAGGGTAAACAAGTCAGACTCCTTAGTTAATTAAGATCTGGTGAATGATGCAAGGTCAAGCATCATGGATGCCCAAAATCTGCCTCAGTCAGGGCTACATTAAGATTGTCAGGAGCCAAAAAGGACACACCTAATTTTTACCGGAGTTGGTTCTAGCTGCCCTCCTACTTAATGGCAAGTTTCTTAGTTCAAACTGTGATCGTCTTCACTAGCCAGTCCTCCATTTTATCTTTAAGGTAAGGCAGATGTGGGCTACCTCTGATGCACCCAGTTCCATCCTTCTTGACATATCCAAGTGGCTGGGTAATCCACCTTAATCACATTGGGGGTTATTTTTAAAGTACAATTAAGAAGTGAAAAATAAATTAACTTCAGTTGCTTGTTTGTTCTAAACATGTCCAGACAAACACATGGAAATGTGTGAGAGGCAACTGTACTGCATCAGCTCTAGGAGATGGGCTGGAGGAGTTAACAGGGCTTTTCCATCTCTAAACTGCAGGACTGTTGTAATTCATCATTTCTATAGCACCATAAATTATATGGCACTTTGCAAGCACAGAGGCAGTTCTTGCTTCCCTGAAGTAGCATGACTCTCAGGACAGGGTGCCTGGCTGAAGTGTGCTCTTCCCCAGGAAGGCTTCCACTATGAATACCATGCCTACAGTACTGTGTGACAGTACCGCCCCATTGTCCCATCAGGAGTGGGAGTAAAAAAGCTGGGGAAGGCAGAGGGCTTTTTTCCTAACTCCCCTGTATCACAGCTGGATTTCTCGTCTCTCCATGGCCTGTTTTAGTATTGCCTGGATGGAGAATAGGCTTCTTGGGGCTTTGATGCAGTCTGGCTGTCCTCCAGCAATATCCACAGTACTCCCTCCCCTCCCATATGCTCTCCATTAACATCCTCCTGTCTGCTGAATAAGGAAAGAATAACTCTCCCAGCCCCGGCCAGAGCCCCTGAGCCAGGGGAGTTCATCAGTCAGACTAGTTTCTCCTGAACCCAGAATAGGCCTCGTTAATGGGCCAGGAGGGATTTTTTTTTTCCCTTTCAGCTTGTGGCTGCCCTGAGCCAGAAGTAGAGTCAAGTTACTGTGTCCGGGAATCTCAGCTATTCCAAGAGTAGGAGCAAGTGAGCTGCTGACTCAGGAGGTTTCCTAGTGTTTTCAAGCAGGGCTCAGTCCTGTCAAAGCAAACTGAACCGTTGGCCTTGTCTTCTTCTAGCCCCTGGACAGGCATTAACAAAAGTCACAGTTGACTGGAACAGGCTGGGGAATTGATCTGGAGCAGGACTATGGATCATACTTTTTCCTGGCATGAACACAGATCCTTGCAAAGACATATATTAGTCATCTACTCTTTTTTACTCCTCTCCTTAGAGAGCAGTTTAGTATAGTATAGATATCCACAAGCTATGAGGCAGCTTAGCTTTATTTGCATAATTTTCTAAAAGAGAAGATAAAATCAGAGGGAGAAACAGACTTATGAGCCAAAATGTTTCATTGCAAATCAGTGTTAAAGGGTCAAGAATCCCTGCCATCCTGAGCTGTGCTGTCACCCAGAGACCACCTTACTTCTGTGTTATGTAAGGATGCAGGAGGATCCTTCCTGTGTGGCTAAATTGTCCTTTGGACTTCCCAGAGCCTGGAATGGAGTCACAGGCTGTGTCTGGAACAAGCAATTAGAAGTCATGCTGAGTTCAGGATTCTTGTCCTCATTTCAAGTCTGCCTACGTGCTCTTATCTCTTCTAAGGGAACTGGTTTCTAGAGGTTAGCAGAGAAGACAAATCTACTACAGCAGTTCGCTGCATTCACCCCTCATGAAGCTGTGTGCACTCCTTTGCGCAGAGACTGAAGTAATTGAAGAGTATATGCTCCCAATTTTTCACCCCTCCATCTCCCAGCACTTTGTGACTGCAGCCAGCCTGTTATAACCTGTCCCCTCTCAACCCCTGAAAAGTTCTGTCATCAGAGAGTCTCAGCTCTTTGAGGTCATGTTAGTCTTTACTTCACTGCCTCTGACTGTGAGCTGCATTTTCTTACTGTCCTATTCCCTTCTTCAAACTCACTTCACCAATGAAAATCCAGCATAGTATATAAAAGACAATTGGGTGGAAGCTGGTGTTTATAAAACAGAAGGTTTCTTCTGCCTGCAGCTATTGGCATGTCTATCCCAGACACATGCCCTAAGACTAGGATCTGATACAGGGACAAAGAAAGATAAGAGCTTCTCTTACTTGCCTTCAGTCTTGAGGATACAAATGTCCCCAGTTTGAATAGCTAAGGAGCTCTTGGCTTGTGGCCTAAATGCCACCTGTTTCTGCAGTATGGCCAGATGGGTAGGACGCCTGTCTTAGCCAGCATCTGGCAGAGATTTCCCTATGTAAGGAGAATTTTCAGCTACCTTTTTGAAGGACTTACTATCCTTTTAGAAGTGCCCAACATCCCAACAGTGACAAGCTGCAGCTAAGGCTTTGGCTCACTTACCTTTGGCATGCGGTTTGTTTTAGGGCAGGAGCTCTGGCAGAGGTTCACAGACGGTGGTGCCTGGGACTTGTGAGGGGTACAGGGAAGCAACCAAGGAGGAAGAGGACATTTTATTTTCTAGAAAAATGACAAGTGCTGATTTTTCTCCATAATTTAAAACACCATTTGGATTAGGATAGGAGTCCTTTCGACAGAATTTGTCCATTGAACAGTGACCAAAAAAATCTAGGTGTCTTCCTCCAAAATCTTTGCATCAGAGGGGACTGAATTGTTTCATGTCAGCCAATCAGGGTATGATCAGGGTATGTGGGAGTGGAATACAGTAAAAATGAACTGCAGAAAGCAATACCTGTAACAACAGATTTCATTTCACCTGCTTGCTACCTATGAGACAGTGATCCCTGTAAAAAAAGGCAGGACAAACCTGCTCTGATAAATATGACCAGATGAAATAACTTATTTCATAGTCTATCATCTAGTTCAGTGAGTCACATGTGGTATCTCTAGAAAGTTGGTAACACCCTAGAAATCTGTAACTTAATACATATTTAACTGAGGTCTTGTCTCATATTTAATAGCAACTCCAACTGGGCTTGCATAACAATCTAGAGAAGGGTGGGGACTACCAACATAGGCTTGAATAGAGCACTAATAACCCCTTAGTATCCATGACGCCTAAGAAAAAATCAGCAGAGCATTTGTGTTTGTAGCTAAGGCTTATTTGCAAAGTGATAGAAATGTGATTACCAAGACTCTCAGCTACAGTTGCATTGATGAAAAAGCTGAGAGCAAAGGATGAACACAGAGTGGTGGTAGGGATACCCTGAGCATGATGGGTTCCATGTGAGGGCAACATTCAGAAGAAGCTGTGAGCTCCAAATGACCAGCTCAGAGACAAAGACTGTCCTGAGAGTTTCAGGATAAACACAGCTAAACTATGAGGATGCTTTATCTTCTCAGAGAGAAAGAGCCCAAATGTTGCAGTGTTTCAGGCAGCCAGAACAGCATTTGCTGTGTAATGTGAAGTATTTAAGCACACATGGGCTTCATGGTGTTTCCTGCCAATCTGCAAAGTATCAGTGTGGTGTCTTGTAGTGCCAGGAGCTGGATGAAGAAGAGGAGTTCCCCAGTGGGCATAACCTAATTGCTTTCCTACCTGGAGCACATGGCTGAAAGGCTATGGGGAAATGGTGAAATGCCACACTGTCTCTTCCAATAAAATAAATAAATGTATCTTCCCCTTCTCTGTCTTCTAGAGAGTACTGTACCTTCTTCTCTAGCTATACATCCAAGGAAACATAAATGCTCTCCAAGTTCCCCAACTGGCCTCAGCTCTGCAGACCAGGGGCTGTGACAGTAGTACAGCATGTAAGGACTGTATCCTCTGGACTGCCCTTCCCTCTGGATGGCTTCTTCCCCATGTACAGAGGTGACTCCTGGTGAGGCACTCATCCAGCTGCTTCAGGTGAGGTACATGTGCCCACTTGA